CCTAATTAAACTACTCTGTTTGGTGAATAACCTCATTAATTAAAGTAGTAGATTCTAGTACTAAATTTTTTCTTTTTATTTGTTTTACATAAATTTATAAATATGACAATTAAAGTCATTTTTAAAGTACAGTCTTTCCCTCTCTTTTTCTTTTTTCGTTTAGATCTTCTCCTTCCTCAGCTTTCCTCTCCGCCCATATCAATGCCCATACTGCCCACCAATAATCCCAGGTGCTACCTACTGTGAGTGCTTCCACTCTTTATTGGACCTCTCTCTCACACACACAACATACACACACCCACTGGAATCATATTATACACATTTTCATGTATCTGAATTTTCTTATTCAATATTTCATGAAAATCTGTCCAAGCCAACTGTGTGGCTCTAAATCAGGGGTAGGAAACCTTTTTTTTCTGCCAAGGGCCATTTGGATATTTATAACATAATTCATGGGTCATACAAAATTATCAACTGAAACATTAGCCTGCTATATTTGGTCAAACATTTAATTAACTCACCCCTAATGCCTTGGCAGGGCCAGACCACCCCTGCTCTAAATTATTCTTTTAGCAGCTGCAAATTATCCCATGCTTTAGGATATACTATTGACCGAATATGGATATTCTTTACCTAGGCTTTCATTTATCAACTATGCCATAATAAACATTCTTGCACTGTGCCACGGATAGATTCCTAAAAGTGGGACTGCTGGATCAAAGGATAGCGTAGTTCTTTTCTCTCTTTCCTTTTTAAAGAAGAGATGCTGCTAGACTGTTTCTGACTTACAAGTGCCCTTGCAGACTCAGTTTCCCTCTCTGGACCTCTGTTTTCTTACTCCTACAGCAGGTGACCTTGACTGTCCTTTGCAGCTTATTCTAAACTCTGCTTCTGCGCCTGCACTCCCTGTCCTGTGTTTTGCTGCAGTGAAGTGAGGATCATCACTACTGCTGACTCAGGGACACGCATCCTGCCTGTCTCACTCTTGGAATTTCGGATGTACATTTTCTGCACGCAGACTAGGTACTAAGCTGAATCACTGATTTCTAAGTATGAACTCTTCTGAAATGCTATGGTGAGGGAAGCTTGCCTTGATTAGCTTGTCTCCCTAACACCAGGGTCCAGATGAGAAATGGAAAATGCAGCTGATTGCAAAGCTCCAAGCTTCTGTCGTTTATGTTGAGGTTTACCTTGATCTAAACAAAAGGTGCCTGAGAAACACTCATAGATGCCTGTGTTTGAGCACTTTTTCAGAATGCTCCCAATTTTCTTTTAATGAAGATGCATACTTGATTATTGCCTGACTAAACCACTGAATGAGGAGAAATGTTGCACAATGAGTATCTACTTGGTAAGGCTTTCTATTCTGTGCATGTCGCCCCATATTAAACCCTCTGGACCAAGGAGAAAGAACTGTTTTATTTGCTAAATTTGAGGAGCTTCAAAGAGATGATTCTCCCAGACTGAATAACAACGATTGCTTATGGAAAGCATACTAGGCAGGCAGCCAGCCAGCCTCAGTCTAGGCACTTTACATACATACATATCTCATTTAATCCTTGAACAACCCTTGAGGTAGGTTAATCTTATTATCCTCATTTTATAGATCAAGAATGTCCCCTGTGGGTGCAGAGCTAGGAGGTGGTGTGCTGCAGAACCCACGTTCTCAGTAGGAAATGACACTGCAGTGGAACTGGGCAGTGGTGGGCAAGTGGGACAGAAATACTGCATGGCTTCTTGGCAATGCCACCCTAAACCCACACAGAGGCCTCGCATCCATTAGCTGTAGAGGTTTTCGGTGTTTATGGCCCCCACATCAAAACCATCTGAGCACCCGCACAGGTGCGCACATTAAATCCACTGGGTTGGGTGGAATGGAGTCAACGGGCCTGGGCTCAAATCCTGACTCTGGGGGCTGACCTTAGGCAGGTTTCCTCGCTTTTCTGTCAACCTGGCCCTGCAGCTCTTTCTCTCCTGCTGCAAGCGCCCACTCACACCAGAGCAGGAGTGGGTCAGATACCTTTTCCTCTCCTTCCTCTCCCCGTCCCCAGTGCGGAGGAGGGCAGCATCTTGAATGCGAAAGTCTGCCCTTCAGGCCCGCTCCTGCTCCCCCGCCTCTTACGGCTCTCCTCTCCAGTCTTGGGACAGACACTGGCGTCAGGGCTGCCACTGATGGCCTGTTTTTCAATAGACTACCTCTTCCCCCTCCATACTGCGGGATGGACACGGGTTTTCAAAAATAGCTATTTATTTGCTTATCTACAAAGGGGGGGGGGCAAAATGATCGAGGGCAAAATCAATTACTATTTTTCATCTTTGACAAAGTAATTAAGGCCATAGTGACTGCTAATTCCGCCCGAATGGCTGCGCCGTGATGGATGCGGATTTACGGCCTGCTCGGCGGCGGCGGCAGTGGTAGCGGTAGCGGTGCAGCGGCCGGGCCGATTATCACTCCAAACAGGCGGCCGTGGAGGGCGGGGGCTGAGGCCCGCATCCCGAGGACTTGAGCCTTTTATTCTAATTCTTTTCTTTAACTCGGAGGCTCTGTCCTTGGCACTTACCGAGCAGGGACTCACAGCCCGGTGCACAAGCTGTCCCTGGCCTCTCGCCCCAGCACGCCCACTCCAGCCCGCCAACCCTACCCTGCGGCCGGCTGGTGCCCGTCACTCCGCCCCCGTTTGGGATTCAGAACGACCTTTCTAGGGCTGCTGGACCCTCCCACCACTCTCCATGCGGGCCCCTCCTTTCTAGAATCTTGCGGCGGGAAGGGGGGGAGGTAGGGAGCCAAAGCTGAGCTCCTGCCAAAGCCCTCCCCCTCCCCAGGCGGCTGCATTCCTCCTGCGTCAACCACCTCTGACGGGCCAGAAGCACCGCGGGCCTCACGCAGGAACCCAAGTGCGCACTTGGCTGGGGAGGGCCCGCCGGCTAAACGTCAGGCCTGGGGACCGAGTGGGGATTGGCGTCACTCGGACCCAGAGTCGCTGCTGGGGGCGTTCTCCCTGCTCCGGGGGCGCTGGCCTGGGACATCTGTGCGCCCAGAACGTGGACGTGCTGGGTGGAAGCACAACGATCACGCGGCATTTTGCGGGAGTGGCTCAAATGCAAATTGAGGGAACTGGCCAGAACTTTTCGTAGTCGTGACTGGTGGAAGTTGGCCCAGGGCCCGCGGAGCCTTGGAGGGGGGGCGCCTCGTGGCGCAGAGGCCAGGGCTGCTGGGCCGCCCCTTCAAGTGCTCGCATCCTGGTTTGGCTCCATGAAAACTGGGATCTGTTCTGAATGAAGCGCTGGACAGGCCCCCCTCCCCAGGTTTCCCCGCGGCTCCCAGAGTCCAGGGTGTTTGCCAGCGCCCACCGACTCCAAGCTCGCGCCCCAAGGCTTCTGGGCTCCTGACCGCCCTCAGCCAAAGCCCACCAGACCCACCCCGGTCTCCTTCACGAGCCTGGTTTCCTTCGGAGCGGAGCGGGCCTCCGGGGAGAATTAGGTGCTTCTCTCCCCGCCCTGCCCGGCCCTGTGAAAGGGGCTGGGAGATTTTCTAGGGTCAAAGGAGATTTTATGATTTTCCGTTTCCCCAGCTTTAAAACTGGGAGTTTCCCAAAGGTTGTCAATGCTAAATGAGATAATTCATGGAAAGCTCTTGCACAGTGGTTCCATGTTGAGAACTTAGTACATGTTAACTCAACACTACAGTAAACGCTGCCTGGAACCCGCAAGGCAGCTCTCTAGGAGGGTCTCTTCAGGGAACCTTTCCTCCCTCAATATCAGTGCGGACCTTGGATCCCCAACCCTCTTCCATCAGCGGGCCCAGCGGGCGAGTCTGGGAGCAGAGGCGTGGGAACGCCAGAGAGCCACTGGAAGGTGGCGGGAGGGGCCTCCACGGTGCCCCAGGCACCCACCACAATCTGCCGCTGCAGCTTCCGCCCGGGCCCCCGCGGCATTGCCCTCCCGCTGCGTGGGGGCGGTCCAGCCGGTGCAACCGCGCCGACCCGGAGAGGGCGGATGGGGATGCTGGCCGGGCCGCGGGAAAGGGACTGAGTGCTTTCTGTAGCTCCCCATCCCGGGGGCCAGGGGTTCCCCGAACCAGGCCCCCAGGAAGGAGGGAGGGGAAGCGGTTTACCTACAAATCCCCTTCTAGTCTCCAAACTACACCTTCTTTGTAAAGGTGTTTTCCCTGTTTTGATGATAGCCATTGCTTTGCACCCAAAGTAAAGTCCCTCTTTTTACCGTCACAGCCACCCCCACCCAGCTGGAGTAGGGCGGCACATCTTCCCACAGCTTCCGGGACAGCCAGCCCTGCCACCTGGCTGCGGGGTGTGTGTGTGTGTGTGTGTTGGGGGGGGGGGGGGTCACGCTTCCAAACCAGGCCTAGCTGCGGCGAGTTTTTATTGAGAGGGCTTAGAAGAAAACATGGGTCTCCTTTGACTTTGAAAGTGACTAAGAACCAGGTCGGTGTTGAAGATATTTTCCTTTTTATTTCTCTAAAATATGTTCAGAGGAGCTTAACAAATACACTGAGAGCAATCGTAATTTTACCCAGGAATTTCTGTTGTGTCAATAGAGATAAAATAGGAATGCAAATGGTAGACCTCAATTTTTAAGCGAAAGTCCAGGATCCCTCTAACACTGGTTGTAGGGCTGTGAGAATCTAAGTCCCGGTACACGCAGGTGGGTACAACACCCTTATCCAAGCAGCACCCCTGTGCGGCAGCCATCGCAGAGCTGTGGCGCTACAAGCCGACCCTCGATTGTTTGGGGGATAATATTGTGGAATCCGCTGCTTGCAGATTTGGAGAGGCAGCTACGGATGTAGTAGCAGAGAAAGACGGAAACATGAGGGTGATTTAACTCCTTCCCTCGCGCCCACCTCGGCAGCCCCATCCGCTCTGCGCCTCGCCTTGGGTGCAGTGGGACGTGTCCTTCCCATGTTTTCCGTAATTAGGGAGAGGCAAACTTCTGTCATCTCCTGCCGCCGGCTTCGGTTTAGTAATCAGACCCACATGAGTCACGCTGAACACGCAGCCCCCCTCCCTCCCGAGTGACAACAGCGGGCCAGCGTACTCACGGCTGTTGTCCCTTTAAAACTCGAATCCATGGGGGTAATGATTTATCAAACTTGTATTATCAAGAAAATGTCAAACGAAGGGCACCTTGCTTTGCACTGACGCAAACCTCGCCTTTCCTAAGGAGATATAGAAAGCGCCTCTCTTGCTGGAGCCGAACCCAGTCTTGTCAATAGCTGGTTTCACTCTCTCTACCTACTCAATCTGCTGCCGGTGTCAGACATGGTGAGTGTTTGCTTTCTTGTTGTTCTTTTCAGAGAGGGGGCTGCGGGGTTAGGAGGAGCAGATTCGTTTTGAATACTTCTTTTTGAAATGTTCTGTACATTTTGGAAGAAGGAGGGAGGACAGTCGTCACAGCCGTAGTATTTGCACTTGTGAACATCACCTGAGGTCCAAAAGAGGTTTCTGAAGGTATGGAGCTGAGAGGTTGGCGGGTCACCTACCCTGCGGATTCTTAGCACCTACCCTGCAGATTCTTAGCACTGTCCTTGGTGCTGAAATCGGATGCCCGTAGGAGCCTAGTGGCTCTGGGTCCTAGAGGCTGAGATAAGAATGCTTGCTGGAGTCAAGGTACTTAGATTGGTGCAAATTAAGGAGTTCTGCTATGTGCACTTGTGCAAGAAGATTCGATGAGTGGTGTGTGGATGAGCTGAAGACAATATGGTTATTCTCACAGTATAATAGTAATTACTGGTACTAATGTTTAGGAAACCTTGAAAGATAACGAGAAGGAAGAAAGCGGACGGAAAAACCACTGCTGGTAGTTCTTTTAATTTGAACCTCAATTGGGAGAAAGCAAATGAAAATTAGTCATGAGTTTTGGTCCATGAAGGATATCAGACTTCTGTGAATAGGTATTCTGGGTTGGAGGTGGGCACTTGGCATGTTCTTTTACATATCTGGGAATCTGGGAGTGAATGTAGATTGTGTAAGATAACAAACCTGATTACTGTCCAGTGTTTTAAGTGTGGTTTATCATTGTTGTTGGGTTGTTGTTGCTATCCCTGCCTATGCTACCTGGCGGGCAGGGTTGGATTTTGGATCACTGGGATTCGCACCAACGATTTCGCCTGAAATCCTCGCAGGTGCCAGGGCATCAGCTTTGTGGCCGCAGCTTGTCTATCGCTTATGGGGAGAAAAAAAGAGGCAATGTGCATTGTTGAATGACAAAGGAAATGGGGCGGAAAATTAAAGAATCTTTCTACAATGGCGATGGGGACATGGGCACCCTACAGCCGTGATGTGAAATCCAAAGAGGGCGGGGAGCTCATGGCTGTAGGGCTATTCCCACCCTCCCCTTTACCGCTCCAAAAAACCATTTCTGCCTCTTTTCTCAGTTCCACTCCGTCAGGGAGGAGAATATTAGCTTCCTTATGTCATCTGGTTATTGAGCAGACAGGCAAATTGAAAAATACTGACTGCAGTTTTTCCTGGAAAAGGAAAGAAAAATCCAGATTTCAATTTGTTCCCTAGATATTGTGTTTGGACCTGAGCTGTGAACATAGCTCTATATGTAGACACAGGTTAATTTCAAAGCTGCCTTGATTTTTTTTTTTTGCACCTATTTCACGTTGTATGTGCAGGATTGCGGTGCTCCCAAGGAAATGAATAAACAACCAGCCAACAGCCTGGAGGCGGCGGCGGTGCTGGGCCACCACGAGGGTTCACGCGCGCCCAGGACCAGCCCGGAGCAGGACCTTCCCGCAGCCTCAGCCACGCCGCCCAGTGTGCCCAGGTCGGCTTCCACCGGCGCTCAAACTTTCCAGTCCCTCGACCCCCGAGCCTGTGAGGCTGAACGACTGGGGTTGGGGGCTTGCCCGAGGCCGAGGCCGCCAGCCCCCTCCGTGGCTCTGCGGGATTTGAGCGAGACTCATGGCGCGCAGGCTGCCCCTCCTGGGGGCGCAGGGCCAGGCAACGCGATGCATTGTAAGATTCCGGCCCTTCGGGGCCCAGAGGAGGATGCGGACGTGAGTGTGGGCAAGGGCACCCTGGAGCGGAACAATACCCCAGCCGTGGGCTGGGTGAATATGAGCCAGAGCACCGTGGTGCTGGGCACGGATGGAATCACATCTGTGCTGCCTGGCAGCGTGGCGACCACTGCCGCCCAGGTAAGCAGGTCGCTCTCGCCCGCGCAGCCTCCTGCTCCCCAGGCTCGCGAGGGGAGCGGGCAGTGGCGGGTGCACGTGTGCTGATGCGGAGACTGGTTGGCAGTGTCAGGTAATGGGTGCTGACAGCAGCTTTGGGGCTTCGGAAGCTCGCACTGCGCTGGGGTCTCCAGTTCAGGGCAGGAGGGCTGTAGTGACCCTGCCCCGCCCGAGGGATCCACCTTAGGACCTGCCGCTCCCTGTCCCTTCCCAGCCTCAGTGGGAGCAGAAACCGGGCGCAGCCTGATTAAGCAATTGAGGCAGATATATTCCTACCCCCTTATGAAGACACAACCCTCACTTGCCAATAACTGGGTCTTTAATTATTTTTCTTAATTAAAAAAGAAGAAAAACCCAGAGGAAATAAATATTCGTTTAAGTTTTGTAGCCTTTTCACTGTGAGTTACCATTTATCATGTGAGAACTCATTTGATGAGAGCTGGGTTCACAGGAGCCTGCTGCTGAAAGTTAAGTTTCAGGGCTTTTCCAAAAATAAGTAAAAAAAAAAAAAATCTGGTACCTAATTTTGTCATCATAATTTTGTATGGGTCCTCCCCCCCCCCTCAATTGTATAAGCTTCGTGCTCCACAAACCTGGAACCAGCTCTGCATTTGATCCTTTATGCTCAACCAGAGGCATGAAAACCCCACAGAGCAAACCCCAATCCTGGGTGAAAGATAAGCAACTATTCCCGGTGGCCCCTTCTCCCACACAGGCTTCGTCTTCTTCCAGTTTCCCCCAGTTTCTCTCCTTCCTCTGATCTCTTCTTTCCTCTGTCCCATTCCACCCGCTTCAGCTTGTCCCTTCCTGCCTTTCCACTATCTCCTCTCCTCCCTGGGCTCAAGGGCTAGGCATGTATGCAGTGGTGGGTGCCTAAACCAGAACATCCACCTGGATGAGATTTTGGATTTATATAGCCCTTCTGTTTGTAGTCACTCTAGTGTTTGTTCTCGTTCGTGTTCTCTCTCTCTCTCTCTCTCTCTCTCTCTCTCTCACACACACACACACACACACACACACACACACACACACACAGTTATCCACAGACCCATGCAGCAGCTCAGCTGTTAGAGTAATTAGAAACGAACAGACACTTTGGCTCTTCCACCCTGTCCTTGTTTTTGGGGGCCACTTCTGGAGTGTTCGTCTGTGTGTATTAACTGCCTCTGACAGCATGTGCCCACCAGTGTAACCCCAGATGGAGGCAGAATTTTGTTTCTCGTGTCTTCTTAACCTCCGCACTGCGGCAAAAGCCGCTGGAACTCCCACCCTTCCAGCTCTGGAAGAACGGGAGGTGGGGGTGGGGCTAGTACGTGTGGGGAGGAATGTAGGGGGATGCTAAAGATGTTCAGTGTAGATCAAGCCCTGCATTTGCCTATTTTTAGCTCTGCCCATCTTTTTGTTGTTGCCTTTCTGACACCTACCTCAGCCTGCCTTTCTCCCCACCACTTCCTCTCCTCCTGATAGCTGCTTTTTCATCCTCCCCGCCTGTGGGCCAGGGTGGAACATCCTGGGTTGCTAGGATAGAGGTGGATGGTGACTGAGGAGATGAAAGCCATGCAGTGGCTGGGTCCTAGAAGCTTTATGGGGTGCCTGGTGACCTGAACATTTTCAGAGTTTTAGTTGAGGTGGCTTTTCTGCTTAGTAGTTAGATATTCCAGAGTCAGGTATGGCCCCCTAAAAGCATCTTAGTGTGAGTTTGCAGAGGTGAGCCCCAAAGCTGGAGCTGGAAGGTGCTCAGGGGATAGCTGTTCTAAGCCCCCCATTTTACAGATGGGAACACAGAGGCTCAGATAGAACAAGTGGCCTGGGGGACTATATAGCTGGCTAATGGTGATATTTAGACCAGAATTCAAGGTGTTAGGTGTCCTATCTCTTACCATATCCACTTCTTATTATCCCCCCCCTTTTAACCCACACATCTCCCTCCTGCCCATCTCCCTTACCCCCATGCTGAAAGTATCCCCTCCCCTAAATTAACCAACCAGGCAGATTCTGCCTGCAGGCTTTGGCAGAGAAAGGGAGGCAGGGGCTCTGGCTGGCTTCAGGCATTGCAGTTCTCTCTCTGGCCTTAGCACAAGCTCCAGAGGGAGAAAGAGCTGGGGAAACGGTGTGTTGAGAGGTTTGGGGTGGGGAGGGGTGGGTTGGTTAGGGACCTGCTTGCTGGAGACTCTGGGCATGACATTGGGGGCCTGCTTGCCTAATGAACTTTTGGTCAGGGGTTGGGGATGGAGGGACCTGCTTGCGATCAACCAACTGGTTCAAGGTTTGGGGAAAGCTGCTTGCTGGTGTGTCCTGACTGCAGGATTTGGGCAAGAGGGGCTCAGGGGTTGTTTAAGGTGGATCTCAGATCAGGGCTGGGAGCCTGCTTGCCGAAAGAGTCTCAGTGTAGAGTTGAGGGGTGAGGTTCCTGCTTGTAGGTGCATTCCCTCTTCAGAATTGGGGTCCTGCTTGCTGATGCATCCTCGGTTGAAAAGTGGGGGCCTGCTTGCTGGGAAAGACCCTCAGCAGGGGTGGGGGGGATGGAAGGGGACCTGCTTGCTGACCAACCTGGGGCTGTTATCCGACAATGTGCTTTTCCGCCCCCAGGAGGACGAGCAAGGGGATGAGAATAAGGCCCGAGGGAACTGGTCCAGCAAACTGGACTTCATCCTGTCCATGGTGGGGTATGCAGTGGGGCTGGGCAATGTCTGGAGGTTTCCCTACCTGGCCTTCCAGAACGGGGGAGGTATGGCTTTTCCGGTCTTTCCGCCTGTGGCGCTGTGGGGTGGGCACTTGGGGGTTGGGGGAGGGACCCAGAGCCCTAGGATGGGCCCCAAGGGGAGGCTCAGAACAACCTCCTCACACTCCAGCCCCATCCCCTGAGGCAACAGGGCTAAGCCAGAGGGCAGGAGCTTCAGTAACTGTTTCACCCTAGATCCAAGAGGCTTTTACCTGGAGAGAGTTTGGGGAAGAGGTGGGCCCTCGATCCCCCACTGGTTCTGTGGGGAGGGGGGTCTGGGTCCTGAGCCAAGTGAGCATTGATGCAGGGAAGTCCAGACTCTGTGTGGTGCTGGACACCAAATTCAGGATGCTTTAAGAGTATGACTTGGAAATCCCAGCCTACACGGGAGACCTTGGGAATGGGCACTTGGGTGGTGCTGAACGCTGGCTGCTGGCGAACCAGGTGTGAGCAGAGAGGGGCTAGGAGCTGTGCTCTGAAAACCCTCTCAGAAGTATCCCCACACATACATCCCCTTGGACACCAGTGGCACAGTTTGACTAGCAAAATCCTTTAGTCAAAGTGGGTTTCCTTTCATTTGCCCTAACTGGGTGGAAGAAATGCTTTTGAAAGACAAGCATTTCTGAAACGGTGAGGACACCAGTGAGCAAGCACCAGCTGCCAGGCCTCTAGGATCTGCTGAACCTCTCTGTGCCCTTGAAGGAGGGACCCTGGCTGGCCCTCTCGATGTTGAGGTGCCCAGGGCCAGTGGCTGCCCCCCTGCTGGTTGTTATAATAGGAATTTGCACCTGGAACTCCCTCCCACAGTTGTTAAACTTGCCTCTCACCCCATCAGGTTAGGCAGCTTAAGTTTTGTTTTGTTCTGTTTTTTTGTTTGTTTTTTGGGTTTTGTTTTGTTTTGTTTTGTTTTTGTCTCTTGGATTAGCTCCAGGCCGAATTTGGTGCAAAGGGACAATGGACACATACTGCACCACAGGACAATTGAAAGGGAAAAATATGTTAATGCCCCTCCTCCCAATTCCAAATTAGGACAAGTTGACAAGTACTTATGAGGATTACAGAGAATTTGCAATCTGGGTGCCCTGGAAACTAAAAAAAATGTGTGGCCACCCAAATAAGGGCACCACAGCCGGGTTTCCAGGTTTCTGCTGTTTTCCTCAGGGAGTCCCTAGACCAGGGTGCAGGAACTGGGGGAAGGAAGGTGTTCTAATAAAGCTTTCAGTGACAGGAAGGGAAGTGGGTACACAGGATCACATAGGGATGAGTTCCAGTCAAGCCAGTTTGATCAGTGAAAGTGCCCTGGCTTTGCTAGCCTGGGATCTGCAAACTGCAGGGCAGCACATATGCCCAGGTTCCGGAGCTGCTGCGGAGCTTAGCTGCGCACCCAGCCAGGCCCCGGAGGAGAGCCCCACTTTTCTGCACTGTGGCTCCAGGGCTCTGAAGCCCTCAGCGTGGGGTGGAGAGCTCACTGCCTCCTTCCCAGGAGCAGAAGAGGATTGCACAAACCACATCATGACCCCTAATTTTACTCCTCCACAGCCCAGTGCTGCTGCCTGCCACCAAGCCTTCCTGGCCTGGAGAGTCTCTTGGGGACCCCCCTGTGACAGGAAAGGTCTTTCCTCCAGACAGGAAGTTGGGAGGAGGGTGAACAGAAAGAGTGCCCTAGGAAAGATCAGCTTCATTCCATTGGGCACAGTGTTCTGGGCTCTGTCACCACTAGTCCTGGAATTGGCCTGACCCATGCTGCAGCGCTTCCTGGCCCAAACCTTTTCAGAGAACATGGCTATTCTCCAAGCCTTCAACGCCGCGCCCCCCCCCCCCCCCCCCCCCCCCCCCCCCCACACACACACACACACACACACACACACAAATCTTCCAAGGGAAAGAAAGCCATAGTCTAGATGAGATACCCACATAAATATTGTCAAGTGCTCAGGGCCTGGGGGGAGAGACAAGGGAGACTTCTTGGAGGAGGAGGTATTTGAGTTGATCTTGAGGAATGGAAGGGACTTCTTATGTGGAGAGGGAAGTTGAGAAGTCTGTAATGGCTGCGGTGGTGGGAGAGGAATGGGTGCCTGGCCACCTGTCTGTCAGAGCAGGCCCCCTTGGCTGGTAGAAGGTGTGCAGGTAACCAGGTAACTTGGGTTGTAAGCCAAGGAGGGCTCCCAAAGTCTCGCTTCCCAAATGTTAAGTCCTTGGAGGGTGGGGTGCTGTAGAGATGATGAGATTTCACCAAATCTGACTCCAGCAATGAGTCAAAGGCATGGACTTGTGGAACACAGGAAGGACTTAATTTTGGGACACTGAAGTACTACAATTAAAAAAAAAAGACTAAAACCCAGCCAGCACACAATCCTAGCAACTCATCCAGTGGGGATTGAGAAAAGGAGTGTGTTTGCAGGAAACCCTTGTGTTTTTTATAAGAGTGAAATGCCTTCAATGTCCCTGGGTGCCTGTGGTTGAGCGGGACCATCAAAAGCTCTTTGGAAAAGGAGGGGGAAAGTGGGCCCAAGCCTGGCCTTGGCCTCCCAGGGCTCTCACTCCCCATTCTCTCTTCCCAAGGTGCTTTCCTCATCCCCTACCTGATGATGCTGGCTCTGGCTGGGTTGCCCATCTTCTTCTTAGAAGTGTCGCTGGGTCAGTTTGCCAGCCAGGGGCCAGTGTCCGTGTGGAAGGCCATCCCAGCCCTGCAAGGTGAGTCCCCCTGCCTCTCAGCCCCCCCAGCCTCACGTTGCTCCCTCCGGCCACAGGGAGGGAGACCTGCTTTGCTGATCAGTAGAACTCACTCCTTCCTTCTTTATTTGATCAATTCCACCTCTGGGTCCCACTAAAGTATGACCCATGACCACTTCTGGCACGTTTCATTCCTGGCAGAATGCCTCGATGCCCTTTGTAAACACACAGGTCACCACTATTAGTGTATCCCTCTGTACAAGAGAACCAAGACCTGTCCCCACCCGGCCCCACTGTAAGAAATCCGTAGGATTTGGGATGAAGTAAATCCCTGGAAATTTTGCTTCCACAGGCTGTGGCATTGCAATGCTGATCATCTCCGTCCTAATAGCCATATACTACAACGTGATTATTTGCTACACACTTTTCTACCTGTTTGCCTCCTTTGTGGCTGTGCTGCCCTGGGGCTCCTGCAACAACCCTTGGAACACGCCAGACTGCAAAGATAAAACCAGACTTTTATTAGGTAAGTTTGGATATACCTACATTAGGTGAAGTACTCATTCATTCATTCATTCATTCATTCAATGAAGATGTGTTGAGCACATATTGTGTTTGCCTGCCTTATGCTAGTGCTGGGGGCACAGAGATTTAAAAAAACAACACCAACTATACTTAATTCTAATATTTAAGGAGCTCATGGCCCAGAAAGGGGTCATAAAATTTTTGTGTGCTCAGGAATAGCTGGAGTGTTTGTTTTTTAAAAATGCAGATTTGCAGGCTCACCAGAGTCTGATTTATTAGATTTGGGGTAGGGAGGGTTGGGAAATTTGCATTTTAGCAAGGTCCCCAGGTGACTTGTATGCATAGTACAATTTGAAAAGCAATGAGGTCCTAGAGTCTAGGGAAGTGATACAAGTGATTCTGGGTCTACACTTTACAAAATACTGCTCATATGAGAACAGGCACTTCAACTAAAGCCCTTGGTAGAAATGTGCACAATGTAATAGTAGAAGAGAGGAATTCTGCCTGGGAGACAAGGGAGTGTTTCTTGGGGTTTCAGACCTGAAATCCACGGGCACATGAGGACTTGGGAGGAGTGTCAGCTTGTTGGGTCAAGGGCGAGTAGTAAGTGTGAGGAGACACAGGCTGGTTCGTGGGCAAGGCTTCTTGGTCCATAAAACATCCCAGCCCCAAGGACACGTGTATCTGTGTCACGTAACTTCTCTCCCTGAGTCTGAGTTTCCCTCATTTGCAAAATAGAAACAGCAACAATGTCCTTCATCCTGCTCACCTCATGGGATGCTGCAAGGGGAAAAGAAATGAAAGGATATGATGATGGCAGCTGGAAAAAAAGTATAAAGCTCTACAAATGGAAGGTGCTAATTCTATCAGTCACCTTCCAAGGCTCTGGTCCTTTTAACAGGGCCCATAGGCAAGTGGTGTCTTCTCCCCAGGTGATCTGTTATTTCCCTTAAGCTGGGCTGTGCTGAGGGCAGAATCCTGTGATCTCTATAGACTGGTTCTTATTGCTGGCCCCCAAATCAGCTCTTTTGCCCTTGCAGAACTCGGACATTATTTAACCCTTGGGGTGTGTTTAAGAGAGAAAGGTGCGTCCTTCCCTCCCACACCCCCAGAGACAGGCACATACAGTCATTCACACTGGAGTATTTTCACACACATGATCACGTACATACTTACCTGACCAAGTTCCCCCGGCAGAGGCTTTGAGTAAGACTGGAGAAGAGTTAAAACTAGGGACGCGTGCCCATGAATTTCAAACCCTGTGCACCTGGACATGCTCAGGAATGGGGATGGGGATTTGTGGCAGTTCCCAGGTGTGGGGCTCACTAGTGGTAAGAGCAGAAGTAAGAGTCTCTTAGATTCTCTGGGTCTCAGTGTCCTCATCTATGTAATCTCCATGTTGACGTATTCTTAGGTTTGAGCAGTGGTTTTCTACCCAAGCTGCTGCATATCGGCTGCGTACCTACTGTGTACCAGGCACAACTCCAGGTGTTTGGGATATACCAATAAATAAAATTCACCCGGGGAACTAACAAATTGAACCGTCACTAGTGTCCATGCCAGACCAATGGATTCAGATGATCTGGGGATGGAGCCTAGGAGTCCGTATTGTTAAGGTTCCCCAGGTACACCCAAGGGTAGGAGGCACTAGGGTGCAGTTTGCCCACATCCTGGTGGTCACCTCTGCAAAGCTGCTGTCGAGAGAACCCCACTGGGCAGCTGTCCCCAGATTCACAACTGAAAACCAGCTGCCAGATGGCTCCCTGAAGATGGTGGCCATGGTAGGCAAAGGGCATCTCCCAGGATGTGGGGCCTGGAATGGAGAAATACCTCGACATCATGCCAGAGCCCAGCTTGTTCATTCCAGATTGTGCCAGGGAGGGGAGTCGCTTTTCAGGGGAGTGCCTGCTGGAAAAGGGCTGCTGCCTTGATTCAGTGTCTGTGGGAGCTTCCCTGGGGACTTCCCTCAGGGACCATGTGGGTCATAGTGATCGGTGCCTGCAGCTGTCCCCTGGGAGGATAGTAGTTCAGCAACACCATTCTCTTCTACTAACAACATCCACCAATATTTGTGCCGCACCTTAACACTTAATAATAATACCCAGCATCACTTACTACATGACAAGCACCATGCTAAACCCCATATTACCAGTGTTAACATGAACAATAAACCAACATATGGCTTGCAATATTATTTTCACTTTACAGGTGATAAAAACTGGAGCTCAAGGTCATAGAGATAGCTCTGTGGTAGATCTGGGATTTGAACCCAAGGACCCTCCTCCCAAGACCCTGGTCCTAACTACCATGCTAAATGCTTCCCAATCTACAAAGTAGCTTCATAAATGATGGCCCTGCTATTCCTAATAAGTGCCCAAGAGTTCCAAGGGGCAGGTAACATGACCTCTGTTTTGCAGGTGAGAAAGTGGACTCAAAGGCTCAGAGAGTGGGAGTGTCAGGCTGTGAGTCACAAGGTACAGCCAGCAATAGGGTTTGGGTCTCATGACTCCTGATTCTTTGCTCAGCCAGGGCCCCCGAAGAGTCCCAGCAGGTTCTACTCCCTCAGTCCTGCAGGGTGACCTCAGCCCAGGTGTTCGCTACCTATTTGTGGCTGAGGTTCTATGGGGAAAAAGGAAGCTTGTCTGAGTCAGAGACACAGTTAAGGACTATACATGATTGTTCATTGCAGCCACATTTCCAGTCTTGGAAAAATATCAGAAACACTTACACATATGATAAAAATTCAGTAATTACTGGATAATTCCATGGTTCCAATAAATTATAGTGCATCCATACGATGAAGTTTTCTATAGTCATTAAAAATGAATATTCATAAAATATGGAGAAATCCTCACCATATTGTGTTAAATGTAAAAACAGGATACAGACTTATAGTGTACTTTTATTATTATTAAGAAAATATGCATGGATAGAAGACATATAGGAAGATGATACACAATCTGTTCACTGGCAATTTGGGGCCATTCTTTCTTTTCTACATTATCTGTTATGGACATGTATTTATTTTATAGTTCTGTATGTGTATGCATGTGTTTTGTTATTTTTTTAAAGCAAGCTGAGCACATAGACTAGGCCGGGCATGTGAATGGGGGTACCCCTGGGTTTGTGGAGTTTCCAGTCTGGCTCACAGTTCCCAGGAAGCTTTAAAGGCAGAGTAAAGACACTGCACAGCTAAGCTCCTAGTGGACTGGTACAAACCAGAAAAACTATGCAAGCTCTCAGCAGAGAGACAATGGACATTTCCCGCTCTGATTACTCCCTGGGAGCGTATGGACAGGCTGGGCAGGTCTTATCTCATTTTTAAATATTTTCATTTGTTTGTTAAAAAGCAAATGTGTGTGTGTGTGTGTGTGTGTGTGTGTGTGTGTGTGTGTGTGTGTGTGTGTGTGTGTGTGTGTGTGTGTGTGTGTGTGCGTGCGTGTGCATGTGTGTGTGTGTGCGCGCGCGCACCCCCTCTCTGTTCTTCTCTGTTATCTACACACATGCATGTTCCCTTATGGGGCCAGGCGGAAGTAGTATTGGTCCTTTGGGGTCCTGGGGTGACGTAGAAAGGAGATGATGGTCTGACTTGCAGAGACACAGGCGGCTTCAGAGTCCCACTGCTCTGATGGACAAGTTGGGAGTCCAGACAAAGGGTATCTCAGGTTCTCTCCCAAAGGGCCACTCTGAGAGAGAAAACAGAACCACTCCTTCCCCGATGCAGTGTTCCACAAATAACCTCCCAAGCTCACCCTCTCCTTCACAACCCTATAACCACCCTATCCTGTGATAGCAGGCAGCTAGTCCCAGGAGAGAAGGGATGAATCGCTGCCGTTGTGACCTTCAACCATGGCAGGGAGGTATTTAACTCAGGTCCTTCTCAGAATTGCTAGGGACCTACTGCCCAGGAGCCCTGCCTCACCATCCAGATGCTGGGACCAGGTACCCATGCCAGCCCCAGAGACCAGCCCCAGCCAGCCCTCCCCCAGTCCATGGGTAGAAGCCATTTGCCACACATCTCTAAGGTGTACTAGTATTTTGTAAGAAAGACTCTTCCTTAGGAGGACTCCACCACCCAGGTATCTGTATTGGAACACGGATAATCCATGCCCTGCCAAGTGAGACCAGCGACTGTTCTGTGAAATTAGGAGCTTAGCTGGGCCATTTAAAACGGAAACCACATAAATACCATTTCTATTTCTGGAATGGCTTAATTTTCATTAGAGCTTTAATTAAATGACTCCTTTTCTCCCTAGCCTTTCATTGCTTTCATTTATTAATAATTGCCCGAGTAAAGAGAATCCCTTTCAAACAGCTTCCAATTTAGAATGATCATTATCGCCGCTCTTTGTTCAGGGTTGCTGGGCCGCAGAGCTCTCTGATGACTTGGCGGGCTGACCTGACGGCGCGGAAGCACGCTTCTGCCATCTGGCGGCGGGAAGGGGTATTGCAGGAGGCTGCCGGGAGCCCTGCTGCAGTGCCGCAGGAGCGCGTGACCTGGTTCTGCAGGCAGCAGTGACCCAGACAGCCGCTGGGGGAAGCGGGGAAGCTGCCTTCGTGCTTGTGCTTCACAATGGCAGTTTGGGAAACAAGCATTTTGGCATTTGCCCGCATGTTAGGGATCTTTTCAGTCTTAGGGGGTGGATGTACTTTTGGGCAGGAGGGCAAGAGATAAATACTGTGTTTAGGGAGAGAAAAGGGATGTGGATGGTGCTTTAAGTGTCTGCATTCAGGTCACTGCTGCTGGAAACAGATGCTTCCTCGATATTTGATAGTTATTAGTTCCGAATCCTCCTGGAACTCTGTTATTTGATTAGACTAAGGAACAAAACAGTTAATAAGAAGGCATTTTGAAGACGCTAAGAGCAGTGGTTCTCAGCCCTAGGAGCTTTTGCAGGAGACATTTGGCACTAACAAATTCATCCCCAGGGAACCCCTGGGTTAGGTTAGGTCCTGCTGTCACAAGCACACCGCATGGCTGCTGCCTCCACTAGCCTGTGTGGGTGTGTAGGAAACAATGTCATATGTATGTACTATGTGTCATTCATCCTGCCAGGCTGTGGGTTCAAGGTGAATGTGTAAGTAAGCCTTCTGTGGCAGTAGCTCTTCAGGAGGTTTGCTTATGTCTAATTAAATTCATCTCTGCAAGCCATTTACTTTCTATGGCGTTCTGAGGACCTGGGTTTGAGTCTCGAATCTCTTCCTCATTAGCTGTATGATTTCAGGAGTAACTTAACCTCCTGGAGCCTTTTCCCTCAATTTAAAAGCCGTGGTAATAGTACCCACTGCATAGGCTGTTGTGAGCGTTAAGTGAGATAATGCCTGCATATGAAGTGCTCAGTGCAGCGTGTACCGCACGGAGAGTGTCTATAAAGGAGAACCACTGTTATCTGTACGACTCAGGGCTCTGGGGTCCGTGACACATAAAAGGTAATTCTGCGGTTCATCTCCATCTAGGCTGGTTCAGCTAACACTTTCCCAAAGTTACTCTTAAATACCTGGCAAATCTTTTTGGCTTTTGGTTTTCAATTGCTAAGACCCCTGGGTATATTTTCTGCATAGATGCCACTGTGTTTCCATCCTGTCCTCTCCTACAGATTCCTGCGTCATCACTGACCATCCCAAAATCCAGATCAAGAACTCAACCTTCTGTATGACTGCCTATCCCAACTTGACCATGATTAACTTCACCAGCCAGGCCAATAAGACGTTTGTCAGCGGGAGTGAAGAGTACTTCAAGTAAGATGGCTCTGTGTTACTTTCTAAGAGAAGCCCAGTGAGTTCATGAACCCTCGACTTGCAGAAGGAGGAGGTGTGGGGGCCCGAGGGGTGGGTTGCCTCCCTCTGCACCCTCCCTGCCTATTCAAGTGATCACTGAGAAAGAGACAGTCCCCGGTTTGGCTTCTGAGAGCAGATTGTTGTGCCTCTGGGCCTGGAAGTGAGAGTTGGCAGAGTGCTGGTGGGGACAGAATCGCTGCTGCTATAATTCACGATGTTGTGACAAACACTTTGCAAAACCTGCACGCATTGTGATCTAAGCAGACCTTCTGTTGACTAGTTGCTGTTTTTTTTTTTCTTCTGCATTTGAGAAGGAAAGAGAGGCAAAATGTCAGAAACCAAGTAATGGCCAAGGATGTAAAGAACGAAATCATTTTTAAAGAACAATTTCACCCTGTTTTGTACTTTCTACATCAGTATTGAGAGACACTGAGGATTGACGTCCAGAGACACTGGAAAATCCTCGGCCCTCACAGGACGATTTAGTCAAGTTCATGGAGTTATTTTGCAAGGGAGGTCAGTGTAGGCAGTGTCCCAGCAGAGGGTACATGAAGAATGTTCTCTAGTTAGGCCTCCAGTTGGGGGTTGTCCACTTGTGTGCTCAGGGCCTTGGCGTTTGCCTGCTCACCAAGCTAATGAGTGAAGTACCGATGAGCAGGATGATAGAGAAGGGTGGGGTCTACGGCCACTTGGAGAGGATGTCAGCCAAGAGCAAGGGCGGCTGCTGGTGCTCGGCCTCACATCCCTGTCTGTGGGAGTGTGGGCAGTGCAGCTAAGCTTCCATGTTACAGGTGAAGTCGGAGGTAAAATTCGAATTGTTATGTGTCTCCCACTTTAAATGTTAGCAAACTGAATAAAGTAAAATAAAATAAAATGCAGTATCAGTGGGGCCCTGGGTTGTGATAAAAAGTGGTCACTAACATCTCTAGTAGTTGTCTGGTTGCCGTCAATTTCTGTGTCAGATTTCTCTTCTGTGCAGACTCAGAGGGGACATGGTTGTCCCTGCAGACAGAAGGGGGAGTGAGGCCGAGAGATGAAATAATCCCTTTGAAGATGATATAGGAGCAGCGAGGGTATGCGTGGACCCACCCTGAGCACTGAGAAACTGAGTCTGACTGGTGGTTAGAGGAGGTCCGACCACATAATCCACGGGGTTGAGTGTGTTGTTAAATATTTGTGAATCAGCTTTCTGTGGTTTTCACTAGTCCTCTGGGACCAGTCTTCATTTCCAAGAGGAAATGTTATTAGGAGCTTCATCCAAGAGCCCTTTTTAAAGGGTGGAGTATTTGAGGTGGAGTATTTGCAGTGGAATTAAGTGCTTTACCCTTGAACATGGGGAGGTCCTTTCATTGCTCAGGGAAGGTCTGGGAGCCCAGTTCACTTCCGCCCTTGGTCACTTCCCCTAAGCTCTTGAGCCCAGGTTGCTTCAGACGTTGAGACTGAAACAGGCTCTGTCACCCCAGAGCATGGCCACCCCTGTTCAGAAAAGTGTGGCCAGGCCTTGCAAAACAGCCTATCAGGTGATCACTCACTAGGTGACTGGGGGGAAGTGGGGGGCGGTGCTGCTGCCTTCAGAAAGCTCTGGGCTGTCATGTCTGCAGTCCCGTAGAATCTGGGTTCTGGCTGGGCCTTTGTTCAGGTCACAGAAAACCACCAACCCTGCCCTTCATCCAGGAGGCATGACAGGATTGCTTCGGAGTTGCAGGGATGGTTCGACTCTTATTAGAACTCACTGTCCTATAGCTGCCTCCTATCCCCAGGAGGAAAGCTATTTGCTCACCTTCGGCCAGGCTCCCAGCTACTGCCAGGGACGTGGGGTCTCCAGGCAGGTGGTGACTTCTTCAGCACACACAGACCCTGGATTGATTTTTACATTTAAATCTAGGCAAACACTATTGGAACGCATTCTCATAAAAGAGTAGAACAACAGAGAAAACACACCAAAGCCATTCTGGACAGTTTAGAGTTTCTGTTTGTGATGTGGCCTTCTGTAAAGACATCACCCTTGGTAAGGCCGTGCGGGGGCTGTGCTGGCACCCCTGAATGCCGGAATTTGTTGCCCTTCTCTTGGGGCATCTCATGGTGACAGTGGAGCGGACATAGTCTTGTATGGAGCCTGCCCGGGGCCATACGGAGCCTCCCTGGCACATAATGAGCAATAGGGTCGATCCCATTGGTCTCTGCAGACAGCCTGGGTCAGAGAATCCCTCACAACCCGATCTGGACAGGTCCCTGATGGGAGGTGAGGTTGCCAAGTTGGCTTGAAGCTGCTGGCTCTGTTGGGAGATTAGATCTGGAAGACTCTCACCCTCCCTCCTTTCTCTTGCCCACTCACAGGTACTTTGTGCTGAAGATTTCTGCGGGGATCGAATATCCTGGGGAGATCAGGTGGCCACTAGCCTTCTGCCTATTCCTGGCTTGGGTCATTGTGTATGCGTCTCTGGCAAAAGGAATCAAGTCTTCAGGAAAAGTAAGAAACTGGGTTTACCTACGAGAAAGCTCTGGGACACCCAGGGGTGATTGTGTCACGGGCAGGTTAAAGGGCACTGGAAGGAGAGTCCGAGACATGGGTGCTGTTCAGATTCTGGCCCCGGGCAGCTGTGGGCCTCGGGAGTGACTTCACTCCTGTCTGTGAAATGGGATAATAACACCTGCGTTCAGGGCTTTTTAAGGCTTAAATGAGACAGATGTGCACAGAGCTCCTGGGGGCACTACGGTTAGTTTCCTTCCTTTCTGTCGGCTGCCACTCTGTTCAGCGGGTGTCCCTCCCTGACATGGCTCAGTCACCGTCCTGAACTAGATGAGTGCTGCTGGCCTTTTGCCTCTTGATCTGGCTGCCAGGCTGTGACTGCTGCTACCAAGATGCTAGAAAAAGATAACAATTGTGAAGAGATCCCTTCTTCTCAACCCCGACCACCACACTCTCAGCCTTTCATGCCTTTCTTCCAACCCCCAACCCATGTACCCCATGTGCCCCCAGCACCAACACTGACAGTCTCGCAGTGGGATCTGGGTTGAGCAAATACTTGGCGACTTGCTGAGCCGTCGCTCGGCTGGCCCTTTGGAGGTGATGGGATTCCCACCCCAAGCTCAGGGCATGAAGACAAGGAGTCTGGACCCTCAGGGCACGCTGGGTACAGCCAGAGTGTCACACTGTTCTTTGTGATGGTTTAGGACGGCATTATAGCCACTGCCTCCCTCAATTTAGAATGTAGCCCTTGGTGGTAGATTGTATGGGCTTTTTGAGCAGATTTTTCTTTTAGATGTACTTCATTGAGAAAGGTTGCCAACTAGGAATTGATGATTAGTTTTCTTAAAATGAGGAATACCACCAAAAATGATGACACTGGCCTGGAGCGTGCAGACGTTAATCATGGAGCGTGGGTTGGAAGCCTGGGTGAATGGTGGCTGAGGCCTCTTATTATCCTGGGCTCCTTTGTGACTCAAATTCCACTGCCATTTCTAAGCAGCGATGTCCTCCTCCTGCAGGGAAATAAGCTCAGTTCCTCTTGCTCAGTGTCCTGGAGACAAGACTGGCTCATTGCTTCCTATGAGATCTCACTCTTCCTTTTATTTTTTAAAAATATATTTTTATTGATTTTAGAAATAGAGGAAGGGAGAAGGAGAGGGAGAGGGAGAGGGAGAGGGAGAGGGAGAGGGAGAGAGAGAGGGAGGGGGAGAGTGAGAGGGAGAGGGAGAGGGAGAGGGAGAGAGAGAAACGTGGATGAGAAACATTGATTGGCTGCGTCCTGCATGCCCGCCCCCTACTGGGGATTGAGCCTGCAACCTGAGCATGTGCCCTGTCTGTTAATCTAACCAGTGACCTTTTGGTGCATGGGACACAGCTCAACCACCTGGGCCACCGCTGAGCCAGGGCTCACACTCCCTTTTGAGCAGCTAGAATTCCAGAGGCAGGAGTGACCAACAGGCAGCCTGAAGGTCAAATGCAGCCCAAGCTCCTTTGTGACTGAAATTCCATGAACACTGCCATCTCTAGGCAGTGATGTCCTTCTCCTCAGGAGCTAACTAATTACTTAGCCCAGGCTGGTGGGGCCTCACCTGACCACCTGTTCAGGGCTCCTCAGTGAGGAGGCTGCAGCCAGATGTCAGGTGTTGACCAGCAGGCTCAGACCAACCAGTCATTGTCACTCCTGCCAAGTGTAATTCATTATTGTTCAAGTTTAATTCCTCTGACAGTACTTTCTGAAACAGGTGCATCCTGAAGCTGCCCTGGCACAGGGGACCAATGGGCACAAAGCCCCCACGCACACCCAACTCACACTTAGGCGTGCCCAGGATTTATAAGCCAAACTGTGGGCCATTTTAGTTCAGAGTGATCGCATCCTCCCCATTGCTTACGGTGTGAAATTTAAGGCAGCTCTCACTCTCAGGTTCCTGCAGGTGCCAGTTGGACCCTGAGAGTGGGTGCCTCCTTAAATGTTGGACTCTCAGCACCTCACTTGCCTTGCTTCTTCCTAACCCTGGCCCTGCCTTATACATTTCTGATCATGTGGTCCATGGAGGGGCATTAATGGGAAAGAAGAACATAGGAGTTAGAAAGCTTCAAGTTTGTATCTTGGCTCCAGCTGGGAGACCTTGAGTGAGATATTTAACCTCTTGAGCAAAATGGGACTACTAATAGCCGGTCCACAGAGGGGGTCATGTTTGTACAGTCTCCAGTAGTGAAATGGGAAGGGTTGTCTCTGCCGGTTAGACGGGTACCAGCCTTGGGGTTTTCTTCCTGCCGCCTGCTGTCTGGGTCATGTCCTCTCCTTTGCCTCCTCCATCCTCACTCCCCACCAGCCATGTGGTCAGGAGGTGACCCCTGCTGTCTTGGTGGGGTGGGGCGGTCAGACTGGTCAGGGCCCCGCCCTGCCCTGTAGCATCTCCTCTCCCAGCCCCATCTGACAGCTGGCGGGACAGCCCGGGCAGCCTCGGGCAGGCAGTCTTCCCCTGAGATGTCAGATACCTTTGGTTTCATAACAACTTCTGTGTAGAAGGGCTTCCTTAAGAGGAAGGAGAGAAGCAGGTTTGGCAGGAATCGGAGGGAGGCCTGCATCCCCCAAGCCCCTAGCAACCCCTGAGCTTCTGGGCAGGATGGAGGGGCAACTTCTGTGGAGGGTGAGGCGGGGGCATGAATGGAGGGGAGGGAGGGAAGAGGCCCCTGTTAGGAGAGGTAGCTGTGCAGAGAAAGGAGACCAGCCCATTCCCGGTCTAGCCAGAACGAAAGAGGTTGGCCTTGATGAGTAACTGGGTTTGGAAGAAGAAACAACTCATTTTCCTTAACCTGCATCCTGCCCCAATTCTGCAAATGGCAACACCACCCTTTTAGTTGCTGAGGCCAAAAATTTTGGGGTCATCCTTGCCTCCCCCCTTCCCGCCCCTCATTCCACATTATTAGTAAATGGGTCAAAAAATCCTGTTGGCTCGTCCTGCAAAGCATTTCTCCTAGCTCCTGCGAAACACCCTGGCTGGAACCATCACTCTCCCCTGCCTGGATTGCAGCCATGGCCTCCAACAGCGGCCCCTGCTTCTGCCCTGGTGCCTGCAGTGTATTCCCATCTAGCCACCTAGCCACTGGGTGTAGTTCCAGTATTAGACCACCTCACTCCTCTGCCCCAATTCCTACTGTAGCCCCCATTCCCCACTGAGAAAAAGCTCTGCAGGACCTGCCCCTCCCGCACCCCTGCCCTCTGCCCTCTGCCTGCCTCTCCTGCTGCGCTCTGCCCCAGCCACTCTGGCCTCCTGGCTGTTCCTGGGTCAGGTGCAGCCCTTCTTAGGGCCTCTCCAGCTGTTCCAGGCTCCAGTGTTCTCCCAGATGCCAGTGTCTCACTCTCACGTCCTTCAAATCTGGGCTTTTCAATGAGGCCTCCCCTGCATGTCCCACCCCCTTTGCTTTGCTCTACTTTTCCCTTTTCCACACATCACCTTCTAACAAATGATGTTACGATTACTACTGGTTGCCAGTCTCCCCATCTGGAATGTAAGCTATTTGAGGGTAGGGGTCTTTGTTGTGTTTACCCCACATGCTTAATGAAATGATCCCAAGAGTTATGTCTTAATCTCAACCCCCAACCCATTCCCTGCAAGTTCCCAAATCAGTCCTCATCCCTGAGATCCCAGTGTCTGCCAGTCCCTGCCATCCTGGAGCCCCCTCGCCAGGCCCGAGAGCCTGTGCAGCCAGTGCATGGTGGGGTCTCCGTCTCCCTCCCAGGGCAGGTGCCCCGGATGGAAGGTGCAGGTGGGACTGGAGTGGCTCTGAGCCAACAGTGCTCACTCAGCGGCTGTACATGCCCACCCCATGGTTCAGAGAGGGTTTGATGGGCCAGGATGGGAGCTTAACCTCATCCTTCCTGGTGTTTTTTAATACACGTTTGGGTTGCAACTGGCCTGTGAGCTGAAGGTTGTCAGTGTTATCAAGACTGGTGAGACCCAGGCAAGACCAAGTGGCACTTCTATTTCCAGGGCCCCCAGGCCTGTGCCACTTGGAATGGATTGTCCCATTGTACTCTTCCTGCAGCCCAGTGAGGAATATGCTGCTGTTATCACCACTTGCAGGTGTGGAAACCGAGACTCAGAGAGGTTAAGTCACTTCTCCAGGTGGCTCAGCTCATAAGTGAAGGAGCTGGGATTTGAACTTAGGCCTGTGGGACTGTAGAACCTGTTTCACCACCCGCTCTTCTCTAGTCTACCAATTCCTGATCCCAGGCCCTTCCTCCATCCCCAGGTTTGATTGACAGATAAGGAAGGAAAGCACCTCCCACGCATTGCCATCCTTATCCAACCACAGCCCCCAAGTTCTGCTCATATTACTTCTCAAATGCTTCTTGACTCTGGCCCCTCCCTCTCCTCCAGAATCTGGGAACGTCCTTCAGCTGCTATTCAAGGCCTCCTGTGAGGTGGAGTGATCACATGGTTCATGGAGGGGCATGGGAAGCAAGAACATAGGAGTTCTTCATCACTCTTAGCCTCAACCTTTTATTTTGTCCTAACAGTGATTAGAGCTTTGCCCTCAAACATCTGCTTGCCCACTCATTGCCTTCGCCTTCCCCCCTCTCCTCTCCTCACTGGCCTCTCAGATCCAGCTCCTGCATCATCTCCATGAACCTTTTAGTAAACTCCCAGGTTGAGCACCGTGCCCTCCCCAGACATCACCATGTCCTGGGCGTATGGTTTAGCCCATTATTCAGACGCTGTCTCTGAATCTTCCAGGTCATGAGTCCCTGGATCCTCATGCATCTAATGTCTGGCATAGTGCCCAGGTCATGTAGGCCCTTAGTAAATGCTCATTGAACTTAGTTGTATTTAATGACCATTTATTATAAATTAGACACTATGCTAGAGGTTCATTTGGTCCTCACAATTACTTATTTTTTAAAAAAGATGCCCTTGTCCTTATTACAGAGGCAGAAACTGAGATTCAGGAGGCTCAATAGCTTGTCCAGGCTCTCGTGGCTCAGAATAGCATCGCCAGGGATGCTATTCCATTTGAACTACATGTGTCTGATCATCAGATCAGGGTCTTTCACCCGATAGGGCGTCTAAGAACAAGGATGGGAAGCTTAAGCTAAAAGGATTAATCTCTAATGGTGGGATCTGGGGCCTCAAGCAGAGGGTAGGGTAGGAGTTAGGGAGGCAGCTGTCCATTCAGCTGCTGGGTGGGGTGAGATCTCCCATAGCCATACTCACTGGGGGCTGACTCACTCTGGGTCACCTTTGGTCCCAGTGCCTTTCCCATGTCCCCAGCCCTAGCAGAGTTTGGGGAAACTACCCGATGCCCTCCCCATTGGACACCCGTGTCCAGGGGCAGGTCCCACCCTGCCTCTGCTGACGCTCCTCAGGCACCCGCTGCAGGCCCGCCCCACCCAGCTCTCTGTTGCATGGCTTTTCCAGGTGGTGTACTTCACGGCCACCTTCCCGTATGTCGTGCTTGTGATCCTGCTCATCCGAGGGGTCACCCTGCCCGGAGCTGGCGATGGGATCTGGTACTTCATCACACCGAAGTGGGAGAAGCTCACGGATGCCACGGTGGGCTTACAGTTTCATTTATGACGTGCATGGGGGCTGGGGGACGGCACATGGGGAGGGGACCCACGCCGGGACACTCTTTGACAGAAGGGGTCAGACCTCCTCCCACAGGGCATCTCACTGTCCCCTTTACAAAGTCCTGCTAATCTGGGAATGGTACGCACTCAGGAAATCTTTAATGAGAAGTGGGCAACTGGGGTTTTTCAGATTCCGGGAATGGTTGTCCTACATTTGAGGTAGCAGCAGAGGCCAGAATGAAGAATGAAATCCCCTTAATAGCTTTGGGCCACCTCACACCACTTATCTGTTACTAATTATAGTGCGTTGGAGATGAAGTTTTGCTGGCTGGAAAATAATAGCACTTAGACAATTCTATTTTAAAGGGCCCAGACGCATTTGAATACTTCCAGCACATGCCACAGGGCTAGCACATGCTTGCACTTTCTCTTTACATATTCTGCACAGGCACCTCTTACTCTAAAATTCCCAGAACAAACCTCCAAAAGAGGGGTGTCTGTGTAATAAGAAGTGAGTTTTCTCACCTTAAAGAAATATGTGCTTTTCCAGAATATATTAAGAACACACAGCTAGGATTGAGTTTGCACATAACAGAAACCCCCAGGTAAGAGTTGACTTCACTTGCATGTGCTAAAGCAGCCCAGTGGTAGATAGTCAAGCACTGGCTGGGTAGCTGCAGGTGTCTTCAGGGGCCCAGGCTCCTGTCTTTCTGCCTCCCCATCTTTAGGGAATAGCTTCCATGTGGCTACCAGAGCTCCAGCCATCATAGCAGCATTCCAGGTAGCACAAAGGGGTGAGGAAAGGGGTAGAGATAGGCACCCTCACTCTTTAAAAGTACGGAAACCCCAGAAGTCCCACATCACACTTGATTTTCACACCCTTGGCCGGACACTAAATACTATGATTATCCTCTTCTAGTTGCATATCCCCTTGATGCTGGGAGGTGGTTCTTTAGCTGCCTTTAAATAAAACCACAGCTTTGAACTTTCTCTTTGCATGTTGTAAGCACAATTTTAAAACCAGGTTTAATTTACAAAAATGATGGCAGGTCCATCATATGAGTCATATAAATCTCCAGCTCACACTCTTGAGTGGCCTTCTGGAGTTTTATGGGGACAATTAAGAGAAATCACCAAGAGAACAGAGGCGATGTCAGCCAAGTTCAAGAAGCACGTGGCTTATAAAACCCCCTCCACTGTGGCATAGGCAGCTTTGCTATAAAAGGGGGCCATAGAGTTTCAGATTTTTAATAGCAGTTGTAATCTGTAGAAATGTTAATTTTAAAAGGTTGATATTTTGGATCCACCAGCATATCTTGCTGTTGCAAATTGTTTTTTGAGAGTGACTGCAGCTAAAGAAGGGGCTCTCCCTTCTGTATAGTTTTTCATGGTAGGAAATGGAAGATGAAATGTGTACGTAGTTTGTTGAGTTCCTCTCCTTTGGTTAGAATGGAGCTGAAATCTGCCAGGTAATTCACTGCCTTTTTGGCATCTGGCACAAAGGATATTTCTCATTGCATCAATGCCAAATTTGTCTCATCTCCCACCGCCTTTGCCTGGGGCAGGGGTGAGGCCAGGGGCCTGGCAGACTCCCCTGCCTGGGTCAGCCGCTCTCAGTGACCTTGACCCCTCTCCCCTTTTGCCTGCTAGGTGTGGAAAGACGCTGCCACTCAGATTTTCTTCTCTTTATCTGCTGCCTGGGGAGGCCTGATCACGCTCTCTTCTTACAACAAATTCCACAACAACTGCTACAGGTACGTTGTAGCCTTTCAAGTCCCAGTGGCAGCTGGCGAGGGGGAACAGGGTCTGGGACAGAAAATGGACTGAGGCCACACCCTCACCCTGCACCTTAGTAGAGCCAGAGAGTTGCCTTGGCACAGGTGAACCCTGCTCAGGCCTGGCTGCTGGCTTCCGGTGGCCTGCACCCCGACTGCACTGCTGACCTTGGCACCTAGGATGGAGCCGAGCCCCTCTGTAGGTTGTGTGCAGGGAGCCGTGTCCTGGGATGGTTGTTCCGTCAGCAGCCCAGTCCCTGGGTCCAGTCGTATGGGAGTCACTGGTGAAGTCTGGTCATTCAGTCACTCTACAGATGTTTTTCTAGAGACCCTATAAGAAAAGAGCACCTTGGTGATAGGTGTGTTAATTAACTCAATGATAGACATCCTGTCACGATGTCTACATATATCCAATCATCATGTACACTTTAAATATAATACAATTTTATCTGTCACCTATACTTCAGTAAAGCTGACAAAAAAATGCAAACATTGAGTTCCCCTCCCAGATCTATTCATCAGAATGTCTGGAGGGGGGCAGGCCCAGGAACCTACAGATCCAGGCAAGATCCTCAGGGGAGTCAAGGACGGTGATGTTTGGATAGTGTGATGTTAGGGATGCTGTGGAACCCAAAGACCCCAAGAGAGCCTGACCAGTTCTTGTAGGAGATGTTATTGAAAGTTAGACATGTTATGACAAGCAATAGGAAAATAAGGCCCATTCTCTTGGGAAGCTGATACAAAAAGGAAAAAAGGAAGAAAGAAAGGAGGAGGAAAGAAGGATAGAAGGGAGAATAGAAGTGAGAGAGGGAGAGGTAGAAGAAGAAAGGGAGGGAGGGAGGGAGAAGGGGCGGAAGGGAGGAAAGAAGGGAGGAAGGAAGGATGGAGAGAAGGATGTATCTTGGAGTCAGATAGACTTGTATTTAAGTTTGCTTCACCATTTACTAAAACTCCAAGATGTGGGCAAGGTACGCCACTTCTCTGAGCCTTTGCTGTCTCATCTATAAAATTCAATTATATTTTGTTGAGCGGTAAGAGATGATGTATGCAAAGTTTTCAGAGCAATGTTGTGCACATAGTAGGTGCTCACTAAATGGCAGTTGCCATTATTATTACCTATAATAATAAAAACATAATATGCTAATTAGACCGGATGTTCTTCCGGACGAAGCCTTGGCGGCGGGGGCTGAGGCAGAGGCGGTTAGGGGTGATCAGGCAGGCAGGTGAGTGGTTAGGGGCGATCAGGCAGGCAGGCAGCGAGCGGTTAGAAGCCAGTGGTCCTGGATTGTGAGAGGGATGCCGGGATTGCGAGAGGGTGCAGGCTGGGCTGAAGGATCCCCCTCCTCCCCACTGTGCATGAATTTCATGCACTGGGCCTCTAGTTTTTAATAAAGTATGAGATATTTTGTGAACCCAGAAGAAACGACTATACTAGTAGTTAAGCTGTGGCCTAGGATGGTTGGGACGGCCTCACAGGAATGAGATCTAGATTGGGCCAAATTTCAACAGGTGCAGGCAGGAGGAAATGTTTGCAGGTAGCAAGGACAGCTAGCAGTGGGGATGAGTGGGAATGAGTGACAGGGACATGGGGCAGGAGCAGTGGGATTGGAGCTGATGGTGTGCCCAGAGGGCTGGAAAGAGCCTTTGGAATTAGTCTGCTGGGGCTGCCATAGCAAATACTGAGAGTGGGTGACATCAACAACAGAATTTTCTCATAGTTCTGGAGGCTGGCAGTCTAAGATCAAGGTGTTGACAAGACTGAGACCTCTCCTCTTGGTTTGTAGATGTCTGTCCTCTCCCTGTGTCTTCGCATGGTCCTCCCCCTGTGTATCTGTGTTCCAATCTTCTCCTCTTATAAGGGCACCAGTCACACTGGACTAGGGCCCACCCTAATGACTTCTTTTTAACTTAATTGCTTGTTTAAAGACCCTGTCTCCAAATAGAGTCACATTCTAAGGAACTGGGGGTTAGGAATTCAACATATGAATATTAGGGGCACATAGTTCAGCCCATTACTGTGGTGTCAGACTATGGTGTATGGACTTCTTTGACCACTGCTGCTCACTAAATTGTAACCGAGAATCAGTCTGCATACCGTCCAAGGGGGAAGCATTGCTCTGTGCTTTGTTAGAAATGAGGCAGTGTGGTGTGGCAGAAGGAACACGGGCAGTGAGGCAGGAAGTCTGGATTCAAATCCTGACCTACCCTTAATTTGCCATTACCTTCCCCTGGGCTTCACTTTCCTCGTCAGTAAACTAAGGGGCCGGACAAGATGGGTTGTTTACTGAGCAGTTGTCTGTGCCGGCCTCTGTGCTGTGCAGAAATCATCTCCTTCTGTCCTCACAACAGCTGTGAGGGAGGCAGGGCCATTGCCACCATTTAAAATTAGAGTGGGAAGAAGTGACTTGCCCTGAGGCTCCATCTAGCTGTGACCTCTCTTGAGTCTAGGATGGCTGGATAGGGCAGGCTGGGAAACTGCAGCCTGTTGCCAGCAGAGGGCGCTTGTCTCTCTCCCCTCTGCTCCCCCTTGCCCTTTTCAGCCTGGGTGCCCCAATCCAAGGTGTCCTCATACTTGGGTGGCATTTCATGGTCCCACTGCCTTCTCTTCTCTCATCCGTGGTTCCTGTCCCCAAAAGGCCCCACCCCCTCAATTTCTGCTCTGATGGACAGACTTGCCTCTGTCAGTTCACAGCATGCAGAGCCAGAGGCCCCAGGACAGGGCAGTTAGGGGAGATCTGTTTGCACCTTTGGTGGTTATAAGTTCAGCCCAAGGGAGTCTGTGGTCAGGACTGGTTGTTCCTGTCCTTGTGAATAAAGAAAACAAGGCCAGCCTGCAGTAAATGCATGTATGGAAATAGCATGTATACACAGACACATGTGTGCACACGCTGTGTCCTTCCTCTTGTCTCTTCCTGCCCACCAGGCACATCTAACCACCAACTCTCATCTCTTCTCCAGGGACACTCTAATTGTCACCTGCACCAACAGTGCCACGAGCATCTTTGCCGGCTTCGTCATCTTCTCAGTTATTGGCTTCATGGCCAACGAGCGCAAGGTCAACATTGAGAACGTGGCGGACCAAGGTACAGTGTTGCTGTCACCCTGCTGTTGCAGGGCAGGTGCTGAGCTCGCCTCACAAGACCCTAAGTTATGCTCTGCTAGGAAGTTGGCCTCTGGAACAGGATGGAGGGTTGGGCACCTGGGTTCCCCTTTGCGGAGGGACAGAGATATATCCCCAGTAGAAGCTCACACAGGGTCAGAGCTGGCTGGGCCCTAGTCAGAGGGGTCACTATAAAAGCCCCTGTCTTGCTCCTCTCTCCTCTGGTCTATTTTTCCTTTCCCTTCTTACCTCAGCTCCAGCCTAAGGAAGGTTGCCCCTGTCACACCTGATGGGTGTGAGTAGAGGAGTCATTAGGCAAGGCAGCAGGGCTGAGGTGCACACAGGTGGCTGCAGGATGTGTCCCTTGCAGAGGACACTAGGACCTGAGTGCTCGCTTCACAAGAGCATTGCCTTCAGAGCAGCCTTTTCCTGACGAAGCACTTTCCTGGTTGTTGGGTCACATGTGCTCTCAGGGCTTTCTGCTTAGTCAGCAAGACAGACCTGCAGTTTTCCCCAGTGGAGGAAAGGTTGGATGGTGGCGATGGGAGGGATGTAGAATAAATGTTGACTCTCCACCCAAGTCATCCTATGTTCATGGCTAACATTGGTGTGGCACTTCGGAGTTTGCAGAGAGCTTACATTTTTATCTCATTTAATCCATATTCCTAGCACAGCATTTTGCAGAGAGAGAGAGAGTGTGCTTAATATTTTTATTTAACTCTTGATTTCCATCAATATTCCTAGCACAGCATTTTGCAGAGAGAGTGTGTGCTTAATATTTTTATTTAACTCTTGATTTCCATCCAGCCTTGTTCTCCAAAGAATTCGGGTGTTTGGTAGGTTTTTGGGATTAAGGGACTTCGTTGTGGCTATTGCTTATCATTATGACCATTCTCTAATCGGACGTTTAGGGGATGCCTCAGTGTGGGGCCATGCCAGGGGCTATAGGGACATGACTGTGGCCCTAGATAATCCAGAGCGGCTTCGCCATGCATTTACCTTTCTTCAAGGAGCTCACTGCAGTTCTCAGCGAATGGCTCAGGTGCCAGCACTGAGAGAACTAAGCCCTGGAAGTGTCACCTTCTTGGTGGGCTGCCCATCTTTCCTGGCTCCCAAAGGGTAATTAATGCTTCCGTGGCGCTGATGGTGCACTGCGGGCCTCAAAGAGTTAAAGAGGGGGCCTGCTCCAGGGGGTAATGATCTCTCCCTGGAGAGCAGGTTTTTGGTTCTGCTGCAGTGCCCTGGGTTCGAGCTGAGCCAGGCCTCTCCTGGTGGAAAATCTGCAGCTCCCTGGAGAACAGGGAGGGCAAGAGAGAGGCAGGGAGGGCTCTGTCCTCAGGGGTGCCTGTGCCACCCCAGCTGTCCTCATTCTCTCCCAGCAGAGCAGCTGGGGCAGGGAGGGTCCTGCCCCACCCTCTGGCAGACCTGGTGTATTTTGTTATTTTTGTGACATTATCGTGCTCATTGTGACCAGTGGCCAAGCCACATTAGTTAACACATCTGAGCTCTTTTCTGCCCCAGGAAAGGAATTTGGGGGTACGTGTCGCTGAAACCCAAATGGAATTCTGCTTTTCCTTTACATCAGACAATTGCCCAGGTTTCTCTCTGAAACTTCCCCTTTCCGGGTTGTTTTCATGCCCTCTGATTTTAACAACAAGAGCCCTGTAGCCTGCTCTGACGTGTGTTGATCCTGGGCACAGGGACAGTGGGCCTCATTCCCCCCGGGGAGGGGCAGTGGCCCCTAGGACTTCTCCCCGAGCCGTGGGCAGCTGGCCCTGCTCGTCTGAATGGCTTGCTTCTGTGTGGGTTTGCAGGTTGTCTGGCTTCTCCCGTACAGGAGAGGTTCTGTGGACACAGGTTGGAGATCTGGGGTCGGGCCCATACTGAATGCTGGCCACTCCCTCCTCGCTGGGCAGGATCGTCATATAGACATGCAGTATGTTTTTGCCGACCCAATGTTAGTAACTATGTTTAGGTTTTTACTCAAAACCAGGTTCTTTTTAGTGACCTAACAACACTCTGTTTTGCCTTCTGAGGGAGGCATTTTTGTCATGGACATTTCCCCAAATCTCAGCCACACGGGAGTTTTGGGGCCTGGAGGTGGGATTGGCGATGAGACCGTGCTGGGCTCTCCTTTCGCAGTGAGCACAGGGAAGGGACGCGTCCTTCTCAGGCGTCTACTCCACCAAAGCAGCATCCTGGGGAGCCAGCCTGTTAGCATCATCTCCATGGCTGCCTGTGGACTCCTGGTGAGAATTCAGCCTCGGGCTGATCGAGATGCTCCTCCCACAGCAGGAAGCCAGGGCCAGACCAGAGAGGATGGACACAAATTCGAGTTGTGTATTTCGACTTTCCAAGTTCAGTGGGAACTGCCAGGTCACCAGACCACCAGGAAGCGCTTCCTCACCCCTAATACTTCAGAGACGTGGCTCATCAAAATGAACACCCTCAAACAGGCCTGCCCAGCAGCCCTTACCCTTCTAAGAACTCATCCATCCTAATAGGTTTCCCAGCAGAGCGGCCATTCCCCGTGTGACCAGGGCCCCTGGCTGTGTCTTAAGTGACTCTAGGATAAAGGATGCCATCGCTGTAGGTCTCTGGGGGCCTGTCCAGGTTGCTGGGACACAGAGCCCCTGATCCCCTCTTATAGGAAGACCAATAATGGCTGATGCTTGCTGAGTTCTCAGTGTCCATTGTTCTGAGCCCTTTACTTGTATCTGCGCATTTAATTCTTACAGAAACCTGATGCGGGTAGGTACTGTTATCTCCATGCCATCGATAAGGTTTGTGCAGAGAGAACAAGTCTCACCAAGTCCCACTTTCCAATCCACGGGGCTGTGGAGCCTGCACCCCACTACCGGGCAGCACTGGCTCCCCTGGGACTGGAGAGATGCCAGGGCCTCTATCAACCCTATGGACCTCATCTGGGGAAACTCCACTATGGCTCAGATAATCCATCTTTCGAGAAAAAAAATCTGAACTTTACAAAGTAATATAAACAATGTATTTTTAAAACCCACTCCCCTGCCCTCTTGGAAGAACAGAGTTCGCTGAAAATGATGCTTCACTTGTACTTTAGGGAGGCAGCTGAGACAGAAGCAGGCCACACATGAAATCATTTTCATCCTGAAAGAGCAGTAAAGCCCCAAGGGCTGGATCCTGCCACGGCCATCAGCCCCAGTCCTCCAAGTGGCCATTTAAGACCTCTTGCCCACTTTATGGGCCCAGCTGTCGCCGGAGCGCTGCTGCTTCCTCAGTGTTCGGCATTCGAGACCTATTTGGAGCTGAAGTTTAATACAGCCTTTTCTTTTATGGTTTATACAGGGAGCCTTCTGAGGCTGGCTCTGCTGTGTGTTCAATAAATGCATAAAGCAGGGGGTATCTGAGGCATTCGGGGCTTTATGCTTTAAATACCCCAAAGCCCTCGGCATCATTCGGAACAAGCAACCCGATAAATTCCAGTTTAAAAGTGCTGTTAGGCTTGAGTTGTAAAAACTCCAGGTGCTGTGACTTCTGGTTCCTAGCCGTGTGTGGGCTGTGTGTTACCCGGCATTGTCTCTGCCCATTATCATTTATTTTTCTACTGACAAGGAAATTCACAACTGCTGATCATTAGCCATCCTGGGTTACAGTAATCCTCCCAGCGAGGCTAAGGCAGATAGGAACCCCTGGCAGGGCTTTATGATGGTAGGGAAAACTGCAACTCAGAGTCCTCCACCAAGAGCATGTGGTATTCTTGGGAAAACCTGAATCGGAAATGCTGATTTCCAAGGTCATTGTTCACTCATAATGGAAGCTAATGTTCTCCAAGTGAGGCATTGGTCTCCGTGCTTTGCCTGCATTTTCTCATCGGTTCCCCGGAACCACCCTGTGAGGTACTATTGTTATTCCCATTGCACAGATGGGAAAAACTGAGGCTCATAAAAATGAAATGACTTGTCTAGGGTTGCACAGTTGGTAAGTCATGGAGTGTGAATTTGGACCCAGATCTGCCTGACCATTAGAACCCAAACTTTCTTAACACTCACACTGTGCTTCAGCGCCCCCTTTCCCCCAGCTGATTCTCCGTGGACTGACATACCCCCATCATTCCCAAGCCTTTGTAGGGCAAGATCTGAACTGTGTTAGGTGGATTTACATTTTATGTAAATGGCTTCTCCTGAAATGAAGCCATTCTGGGCGTGTTCTAGCCTTTAGAACAGGGTTCTCAACCTTAGCTCTATTGGCACTTGGGCTAGATAATTCTTTCTTGTGGGGACTGCCTCGTGAAGTGAAGGATGCTTAACAGCATCTCTGGCCTCAGCCCACTAATGCCAGTAATCATCCTCCACCATCCCCATTGTGAAATTAAAAAATGTCTCCAGCCGTTGCCCAATGTCCCCTGGGGGCAAAATCACCCCTTGTTGAGAACCACTGTTCTAGAGGATAATTGTTATATTCTTCCCCTACTCATCCATACAAAGATGGGTTTTTCATGTTATTTGCATGGGACACAGCCTGGCATTAAGGTCTGAGTCTCTGTCTTGGCATTATTTGGGGGCCTCTCCTCTCAGTTCCCCAAGATATGGATCTAATTCCCCTGGTTCTTCCCCTCAAGGAGCTTAAGATCTAACTGGGGAAATGGGTAGAAATGAGTAAAGAAAACCAACCAACCAAACAAGCAAAAAACAGTGGGAGCAGCATGTAAGTAACAATTCAGGATTTCCATGGAGAGAAGGCCCGGTGGGCTTCCAGGAAGAGGGGGCCTGTCTGCAATCATTTGTCTTGTTCTTTCCAGGGCCAGGCATTGCATTTGTGGTTTACCCGGAAGCCTTAACCAGGCTGCCCCTCTCTCCGTTCTGGGCCATCATCTTTTTCCTGATGCTCCTCACTCTTGGACTTGACACCATGGTGAGCCCCTCTCTTCCACCCCTGCCCCAGGGTCCTTCTGAAGACCCCCTCCTCCTGGGTCCTGCATTCTGCCTGCAGTGGTACCTGCATTTTTCTCTCAAGTTATATACAGATGGTGAATCACCTGTCCAGGACTCAGGATAACCTTGCATTTGCGAGGGACTCATGAGATGGTGCCAGGGAGCGGCCCTCTCTTCCTTTATTCCTTGCTCCATTTTCTGTGCATGATTTAGCCAGTGTATTTACCACTTTGGTGTCATTTTGCCAAAGCAAATTCTGTGGGGCAGGATAAGGGAGAATAATATCAAGTCACTTTTAGGAGAATTGCTCTAGGGCTGAGGCTACTACCCATCATGCTGACAGGCGCTCAGAGTTTAGGAGTTGGGTGCAAAGAGGGTTTTTCCTCAAGTAGAAGATCAAATGCAGGTAAACTGGAGGAGGATTTACATCTCATGAATACAAAGTGCAGCTTCAGCTACCCTGACGGGTGAGTATGAGTGCAGGCTCTGCGGGGCTGCAGGTAATTTCTAAAGCTCACATTCTGCTTGCATTCCCTCTCTGGCCTTGTGGACTGGACCCAACAAGGCCTTTGAGGCCTATCAAGGGAAGGCAGTCCTAAAAGCCAAACCTGATACAGATACCATGGTCCCTGTGGGAAGCACAGAGGGCTTTTTGGAGCCTTCAGGATGGTGTGGTTTATCTCAGACGCCTTTTTCCTTGGCCCCATTCCAGTTTGCCACCATCGAGACCATAGTGACCTCCATCTCGGATGAGTTCCCCAAGTACCTGCGTACCCACAAGCCGGTCTTCACTCTGGGCTGCTGCATTTGTTTCTTCATCATGGGCTTTCCGATGATCACTCAGGTAACTGGGTGTGGGGACTGCATGGCTGTCTGTCCTTTCACCCTTAGCGCTCAGGTCTCATAACAGTAGCCAAGTCACTGGCATTTCTGTGCATATGGCCCCAGGCTATTGGGGATTCTGACCACAGAGGGAAATATGTCACCTTGGCTACTCATGGCACTTCTTACATCTTCTTAATTGAGATGTAGCCTTCTTGAGCCAACGAGGCAGGTGTGTCCTACTTTAAGAAAATCCAAATTTACTGACCAGAGAAATGTCCAGTTGCTTACTCCTCATACACAAGTGTCTTCAGCCACTTGAGGTCATTCTAGCCTGAGGGTCTTGGTAAATGGAGTGTTAGCTCACTCAGTATACTATTGCTTTTGCTCTCTGTGTGACCTTGAGCGACTCACCACTTTGGGCCTTAGTTTCTTCATCTGTAAAATGATGGCTTGGAATGAGATGATCTTTCAGCCTCATCGATTGTAGAGAGATTTACAGAGTGAGATCGAGATGCAGGGGGATGCAGGAGAAATGCCCAAAGACGCCTCAAGGTTATATGAAGGTCAATCAAATGCAGATGTATGGGTAGAAATGTTCATCTATTGCTTAAAGCAAAAACAAAATGATCTGGCTGCTCTCACATGCACATCTTCAGATGCTGATCTGAAGAGTAAGATGATAGGTCATTTTCTGTGCCTTTTCTGTTGATGGGCTTCAAGTCTCTTGGGGGAGGCTTTGCCAACATGGCAAGGCCTCCAGCTTGCATGCTGGATCAGCTTTAGGGAGGGGAGATTCTTTGACTCCTGTTTGCACCTGACTCTCCTCTCCTGTTAGAAATGGGACAGAGCCTAGACCCAGGCCCATTGATCTCAATTGTTTCTCTTCCCTGCTAGGGTGGGATTTACATGTTTCAGCTGGTGGACACATACGCTGCTTCCTATGCCCTCGTCATCATTGCCATTTTTGAGCTCGTGGGGATCTCCTATGTGTACGGTAAGGGAACAGACCTGCCTGCTGCTGTGGTAGAACTTAGTGTAGATAGGCAGGTTTCCATCCTATATAACAAAGAGGTAATATGCAAATCGACCATCACCCTTGCACAAGATGGCCGCCCCCATGTGGTCACATGATGGCCACCCCCATGAGGTCATAAGATGGCCACCCCCATGTTGTCACAAGATGGCCACCATAAGATGGCTGGCAGGGGAGGGCAGTTAGGGGC